ACTACGACTACGACTACTACTACTATTACTACTACTACTACTACTACTACTACTACTACTACGACTACTACTACTACTACTACGACTACGACTACTACTACTACTACTACTACTACTACTACTTCTGGGAAAACTGCTGCCCTAGGGCCCTGAGCCCTAGGGCCCCGACTGTGGGACGCTGCCAGCGACTCGGCACTCCTTTTCGGGACAGAACTGTGCAGCTAGCGACCGTGAGTCCAGTAAACAGAGCTCTTAGGGGCTGAGTACCCTAGCCCTAGCCCAAAAAGGTTAACCTTTTGAATTATAGCAGGGTTATAAGAGCCCCAAAAGGTTAAAGGTTACCTACTCAGCCACTAAGGCTAAGACCGTACACCACTGAATAACCCCAAACCTCTAAACTCTAAACCACTAGCCCTTAACCCCGTAGAGCCCCACACCTAAACGGACCTTCTAAACTCACACGAAACCCGAGTAATTTTCAATCAACGCATGCCGAATCCCCTCTTTCAAGGCTTCATTCCCAGTTTAGGGTTTAGGGGTCTAGGGCTTATAGGATTTAGGATTTAGGGGTTTAGGGGTTTAGAGAGCTCGAGAAGATTATAAGCCCAAACTCCGACATTTCCGGTTTGCACAGGCCCGCGACCTGCAAACCCGTGAACTCCGCGGCAGGAACCAACAACAACTGCTGTTGTGGGTTTCGGGTTTAGGGTTCTCAGCACGGCAGGAACCAACAAAAGCTTCTGGGTTTAGAGTTTAGGGTTCGCAACACGAAGACGAAATGTCACAGTCTTGGGGCATCTGAAAGAATCATACTGAGCTCTGAACCCTACAGGCTTCAGTTCGACGAAGGAGCCTGAGGGAACGCTAAATCCGTAGGTTTCGGGTTTAGGGTTTAGGGGTTTAGGATTTAGGGTTTAGGGTTTAGGGACCCTTGAACTTAAAGCCGAAGCTCAGAAACCAAACCCCGTATGAAAACCCTGGTACTACTTGCCGCATTTCTTACGATCTCGACCAAAGAACCCTATTGAGTCCTGCACACAAAGCCCCATGGAGCGCCCTAGCAATGCGAAATATCTGGGAATTGGCTGCGAAGGCTGGCTTGGCGTTTACGGTTGGGGTCTATCTCCAAATTGAGGATTTATGGTGCATATCGTTGGGGGTTCGGGGTTCCGCCGGACACTGAGATGGTCCAGAAAGGCTAGGGTATCCCTAAGCTTGCTCTAAGGGGCTCCTGGTTCTAAAGGGAGCTTCGGATTTCTGGTTTAAGCCCTATAAACCCCAAACCCTAGAGTGGTTGAATGTAGGGGCCTTATTAATTAGAATACAGTTTTGGGGCCCATTATAGTATAACTAGAATAAGGAACCCCCAAAATAGTGTGGGTAATTATTTAAGTCCCTATACTAAGCCATTGAGGGAAGAAGGCTCCCGAGTCTTCGAGTCAGGATCGACTTTTCGGGGTGGGTGAGCTGAAGTCCTCTCGTTGCGGTACCTCGAAAAAGCTGATAAGAGGGTTTAGGGTTTAGGGTTGAGGGTTTGGGTTTAGGGTATGAGGGTTTAGGGTTTAGGGTTTAGGGTATGAGGGTTCTGCCAGGGTTCCACAAGCCAAAAAAACATAAGAGACTACCTCTTCTACTACCTCAGGCTGCTGATAAGAGGGTTCCCTTTCATATTCGGGTTGACTCGTCTTTGTCATGCTTGCCAGCAGTCGGGCGCCCAACTATCCGGTTTAGGGTTTAGGGTTTAGTGCTACTAGGATTCTACAAGGTTGGCAAGCACCAACCTCCCCTGCAGCCGATGAATTCATTGCAGAGAAAAATCATGCCGCACATCGCTCTGCGTTCGCCCAACCTCTGAATCTCGGTCTTAGGGTTTAGGGTTCAGGGGTTAAGGGTTCAGGATTTAGGGTTTAGGGCATGACCGCTGTGGAAATGAAAAAGGAGCTTCAGATTATTTCGGGCTGCTTACTGTAAGCATGGATCCCGTTATGGAGCTATTGAGGGTTCCCACCCCAAAATCCGACCTTTTCTGCTAAAGTTCCCATAGTGCAAAGGTGTAGAACGAGGATGCTCTGCCTGGCTTAGGAAGCTACAGTTTAGAGTTTAGGAATTTAAGTTTTGGGATTTAGGGCTTGGGGCTTCTCGGCTTTGAAGTTGATGTTTGTACAGCTCAGTGCGGGGTATAGAGTCTCTAAGATACGGATATTTTCTTACTTCCCCAATAAGCCAGGGACATAAGAGGCGAAACTTTCAGATTACTACTAAGATATAAGAACCCAAAAAATAAAGGTTTGGCGTTGGGGACCTAAGTTTTAGACTTGATCGATGGGTGTAGAGATCAGTAGTGGTTCATGTAGAAAGCTTAGCGGTTCAGGGATCAGGCGGGTTTCGGGTTTAGGCAGTACGGCATCCTTGTCAAAAGGACCCTAAAAGGGACCCTAGCTTAGAGAACGACCCATGTATATGCAACTGGAACCCTGGAAACCCTAAACCCAGACCCCTAAACCGTAAACCCTAAACCCTAAACGCAACTGGAACCCGCATGATCAGGATGTTGGACATGACCTGCGGCACTAGGTATTCCCACCGTCGACCCCTGTCTTCCGGTTTAGGGTTTAGGGTTTAGGGTTTAGGGTTTTTAGGGTTTAGGGTTTAGGGTCCACAAAAATGGCTCCCCCAGAAATCTCGCATGAAACCCTACCCAACCCATCATGACCGCATAGAAACTGGCAAGAGATTGCCTCAATCGTGCTCAAACCTTGTCTACAAAGCATGACGCCCCAAAACCCGCCCGAAAGAAACAAACCTCCAAACGTGAATTCGACCCTAAGCCCTCAACCCCCAACACCTAAACCCTACACCCCTAAAACCCTAAACCCTAAGCCCCAAGCCCCGAACCTTATAAACCCTCAGCCGAAAACCTCTCATACCCCGTGGCCGGGGCCTCTGCGCCAAGGCTCTCACTATCGCTTCCTGAAGACCAAAAGGTCCAACACCAATATCTCTGTGTATTATATATATATATATATATATTTATTTATTTATGTATATTCCTATCTATGTCTATATTTATATTTGTTTTTATTTATACATGCATATTTATATGCATATAAACATCTGGATAGATAGAATAAGTTTTTTATGACAGAATAGGTTTTCGGGCTCCCAGTCGAATACGCAGTACTGGTACTCGGAACCTCTTGAAGCTCATGTTGAAGAGATGCTCTGGAGGGCCGAGGGCTTTCAGCTCCGGTAGCGTGGGGAAGCTTCCTTTCTTCCCCTAGGCTTCCAGGGACCTTATTATTGGGTCCTTAAGGGGTCTAGGGCCCTAACTATAAGGTCCTTGGAAGCCTAGGGTTCCTTCCAGCGATGTATGATTCTAAGGTTAGAAGTATGGGCCCCTAATTCGGACCCTTGGGCCTTTGTAGGGACCCTTAAGGCTACATATAGGGTATATTTAGGGTTTAGGGTTTAGGGTTTAGGGTTTAGGGTACGTATATAAGGATCCCACCCTTAAGGGCCCATGCTAGGGGCCCATGGTTTCAACCCGGGAATGTTGCAGGAACCAAGGATCCCCAAAACCCCAAAGCCCTAAACACCAAACTCCTAAGCCCTAAGTCATAACCCCAAGGCCCCAAAACCCTAAACGCTACACCCTTCAAACCCTATACAGCCCCAAACCCTATTGCAAGCCAAACGTGTACAGGTTTCCGGAGTTTCGGGAGGATCTGACAAGTAAGTTCCCTAGTTTGGGACCCTACTACTAAAGCCTCTTTAGGGGGTCTACTTGTCGGATCCTCTCAGGTGTATGGGTTGCTGTAAGAGCCACCCAACACAGTCTGTCGGTTTGCCTCTAGTATTGGGGCCTTTAGTATGCTTCGAACAAGATTTTGGGATATCTTGTTATCAACAATTCCGACACATACTTGTACAGTAGACACTCTTCGTCCACTGCTTTCAGCCGGCCAGCAGGACACTAAGCTTTGCCGTACATTCTGAGATCCTAAACACTACATCCTCCCTATTGAAACCTCGGCCGGAAAACCGTAACGCCTAAGTGTCTACAGACAGCGGCTTTTCCAACACAATTTGCAGAACTCTCCAGGAAGTCTGAGCATACTAGCTTTGCCGAGTCTCGAGGTCATTGCAGCACAAGGCTTAAACAAACCCTGAAGCAAGTACTGGATAGCCATCTCACTGGCCGATGTTTCGGGGGCAAGTAGCACAAACCCTAAGGCAGCAAAAAAGTAACTCCTAACAGTAAAACCCCCTAAACCCTACTTCCCCAAGAAGGCAGGGAAATAAAAGGTCTGTTCCCAAAATGTTTAAAGGTGTTGCGAATTGGGGAACTACTGATGGGCTGACTACCCTAGCCCAAGAAAGGTTAACCTTTTGAATTATAGTAGGATTACACGAGCCCCAAAAGGTTAAAGGTTATCTACTCAGCCTCTAAGAAGAGGACCCCCCCTAAGACCTTAAAACCCTAAACCCTAAATCCAAAACCCTAAACCGTTTGGCTTATCCCAATTAAGAGGACTCTACTAAGGTAATACTAAGACTAAGAACCACGAGAAGCCCAAACGACCCAAAAATGCTGGCAAGTCGCGGTCTCCACGGAGGAAAGCCTTGGCTGGGAAGGAGCAGGGCGGCGCGACGGTTTAGCGTTTACTAGTTCATGGTTGGGGTAGTATTAAAAATTCAAGTTTATATTCCTTATTGGGTTTAAGTACCCTTAAAAATGTAAAATGTTACCCAACTATGACAAAGTTTAGGGTCTCCAAGTTTAGGGTGTAGGGTTGTTGTAGGGTTACTTGGGGCCCAGGGGACTTAGTAAGTCGGTTATAAGTCGGGTCATAATTGGGGTAACTACATTTAGGGTACTTATAACTCTACTTATAACCTACTTACTAAGTCCCCTGGGCCTCCAAGTAGGGACCCTAAACCCTAAAAGGTAGCTTGAGGTCTAGCGTTTGGGGAATTTCGAGTTTATGGCCTCGTGGAGACCTCCGCGATGTTGGGCAAAGTTTTTCTGCGATCGCGCCAAACTCCTAAAGTCCAAAACCCTAAGACTAAACGCTAAACCATTAACCCTAAATCCTGAACCCTAAACCCCCAAGCCCTACTCCAAAAGAGCAATCTTGACATGTAAAGCTCAGAGCGATCCTTGAATGGGAACATGGGAGCCTCCGTTCAGGACCAAGGAAACCCTCATTGAAACCCCTACTTGGAGGGTCGGGAGACTTAGTAAGTAGGAATTAAGTAGACTTATAAGTACCCTAAAAGGGACCCCAATACTTATAAGTCTATAAAACAAGCATTTACTAAGTCCCCCGACCCTCCAAGTACTCTCTAAGGTTGAAACCATGGGCCCCTAGTATGGGCCCTTAACCCTGATAACCTTACACACCTACTATATACCCCATATGTACCCTTAAGGGTCCCTAGACAGGCCGCCTGAGGTTCCATATTAGGAGCCCAGACTTCTAACCTTAGATACGGGAGTTTCCGAAAATAAGGGGTACCTTGTTTTGGGGTCCTTATAATAAGGATCCTACTATTTAAGGTACTATGTTAGGGCCCCCCTATTGTCGGAAACCCTCATATTACTACCCTATGACGAGGAGCTGTCTGAGCCGCTAAGCAAGAACTCGCTCATGGGGCCCCCAGAAAACTGCCGTAGTTAGAACTTGGGCTCGGAGAAGCCCTTTTCAGCAACTCTACCTCAGAGCCGGCGTTGATTTCAACGGCCCCTTTTGAAGCCCCTGATACTGTTTTTGGAGCCCTTCTCTTTGCCCCCAAAGCATCTAAAGACATGCTTGTTTTCGGCTGTTCCTGCACCTCTTTGATCTCCAAAGGCTCAACCCTTAAGCCTTAGGCTGATGATTAAGACCCCCCCTGCACTCCTTACTATAGACCGCTCTTTGAATCTAGTCTGACACGTAAGGCCATAACCCTAAACCCTAAACCCCTAAACCCCTGAACCCTAAACCCTGAACCCTAAACCCTAAACCCCTAGACCCTAAACCCTAAACCCCTAGACCCTGAACCCGATCTTAAAGCAAGCCCGCGGAGTCTAAGGGGCATTTCCAGCTTCCGGCAGGAACTTGGGGGACAGGGCTCCTCCTGCATCGATGTCTGAGGGTTTAGGGTTTAGGGTTTAGGCTTTCGGGTGTGGATTCAGGGTTTAGGGTTTAGGCTTGAGGGTTTAGGGTTTAGGGTTTAGGCTTGAGGGTTCAGGGTTTAGGCTTGAGGGTTTAGGGTTTCGGGTTTAGGGATAGGCTTTAGAATCAGGGTTCAGGGTTTAGGTTTAGGGTTTAGGGTTTAATTCGGATTAAGGTCATTTCCAAGGTGCTATAAGGGTTCAAGGTTCGGGGTCTGGCGAAGTAGGTTCTTATGGGCTTCATAGAGGGTTGTGAGTTCAGGGTTCAACGTTCAATTCGGGGGACTGGAAGAGTTTCTGCGAGCGTCGGTCTCAGCATGCGGCGAATCAACGCGCTTGCACCTTCATGGAAGCTAGCTAGAAGCGATGAAGCCACTTTTGTCTGCTGCTCGTCGCGTCGCACTCGATGGCGTGTGTGTCAGCTTTTTGTTCAAAGCTGTCGCTACGAATGCTTGCGCGGCTTTTTCTTGACCACGTTGGCTGTTGGAGCGGCCGGGCTTCCGTTTTCCCGGCAGGTTGTTCAAGCCCAGCTCCTAAAGCCGAACTCGCCTCTCCGCGAAGCCTGTGGAGAAGGTCAACATCCACAGCGTCGCAGTTTGGCCACGCGACCTGAGTCTTTTATGGACGGGACAGTTTTTGGCCAGGCATGTCTCCTTCCAAGATTATGCAATGTGCTTGCAACGAGTTCAGCTCGGAGATGCTGATGTGCAACGCGCAACCGCCTGCTTTTGAAAGAACTGCGATTTCTTCAAGGCGTCGCGAACTTCAGCTTTTGGTGAACTTCTAAACTCCAATCCCTTGACCCCTTAATCTCAAAATCCCTAATTAACCTCAAAGTCCCTAACTACCCTAAACCCTGCCTCACCGCACTCTTGGTCGATTTATTCTGGGCTCTCGAGTTAGCTGCTACAGAGAAGCCCGACGAGGCTTAAGAGTTTGGGGTTAAAGGCTCAGGCTTGGGGATTTACGGATATTATTTTGACTCTTATGACTCTTGCTCTTCTTGTTCCTTTTGTTATTATTACCATAATTATTACTATGACTATTACTAGTACTACCGTTGTTATTATGGCGAAGTATTGTTTCAAGAGCCTCCTTTTGCGTAATGACGTCTGGGATACCGACCGCTGCAGGGCCTAAATCCTAAGCTGCTGACCCTATGACCCACAATGAGGCTGCTGAGAAGAATAGCTTCTTCTAGCCATGAAAGTACTGTAAGAGTAAGAGTCATGCCAATGAGCATATGAAATCCTACAAGACGACGTTGAGTAGGGGTTTAGGATACCGGCTTGCGCCTCACTTTAAACCAAATGACGCTCATGTATAGAACCACAATCATGTAGGGATCCTAAATAATATACTAGTGCTGACCCGTGGAAATATTCGGAACCCGTCAAGGAATCCTGATATAGAGGCCTTACTAATTAGAACAGGGTTTTGGAGCCCATTATACTATAGTTATAATAAGGAACCCCCAACATAGTATAGGTAACTGTTTAGGCTTCTATATTAAACCCTAAACCCCACACCCAAAACCCCTAAACCCCGAAACCCTACCCTGTCCCGGCAGACACATGGGGCTTCTCCAGGGACTGCCGCAGATGGATCAGCGGCCTCATCTCCTTCCCGGGATGTAGGTCTTGTTTGGGTTCAAGTTCTAGGGTTTAGGGTTTAGGGTTTAGGGTTTAGGGTTTAGGGTTTAGGGTCTTGCAGCTCTGTCTTTCTTAATTGCCATAAGCCTTTGCCAGGACCCCCCCAAGCAGCCCTGAAAAATCGAGTCTCATTTGTCCCATCAAGTTGGTAAATAAGGGATATGATGCAGGGTAGTTGGCGGGTCTGGGTAGAGTCAGAGGGTGTTCTTGAGGTCTGGCTGCGGGGCTTGGCATCTGTATCTATATGCATATCTATATGCAATTTCGAGCTTTATCTAGATGATCCACATACGTACATGCATACAGACACGCAAGCTTACGCACATACGCACATAAATGCATACATACATGCATGCATACACACCATACATACATTGAGACGAACAGACCAACGATCCAACCACGTAAACGCAGCCAAACAAACAAGCCAACCTCTTGCCATAAATTCGTGGAGAAGCCCCAGAGCATTCACAGGTCTTCGAGTCAGATTCCTGCTTCATGGAGACCGGCATTGGGTTTAGGGTTTCGGGGTTTCGGGTTGAGGGGCCTAAACCCGAAACCCAAGACCCCAAACCCTAAACCCCAAAAACCCCTAAACCACCTGGGTTTTGGGTTTTGGGGTTTGGGGTTTAGGGACGAGGGACGATTCACGCACCGTGGTTGTCCCGCCCTCTGGCCTTGCCCTTACGGTCCAAGCTCCCAACATGCCTGATCTCTCAAGACCGAAAACCCTGCACCCTAAACCTACACGCGAAGAAACCCTATACAAACCCGAATGTCCTACAGTACCCATACAGAAGACTCAAAGGAATCCTTCTATTCCAGTACCAGCAAACAAGGCCCGAAACCTTGACAACCCCCAACCCCGAATCCAGGAAACAAAGCAACGAAACCCCCAACGCGCTTAGAATTCGGGAATATCCCTTCTCCTCCTTGGTTTGGGGTCTCGGCTTGGGGTTAGGAGTCGCGGGTAGGGCGTAGGGAAGTTTGGGGTCGGGCAAGAGAGGGGGTTTATCCTAACGAGTGATCCCTGAGTACCCTAGCTCAAAAAAAGCTAAGCTTTTGAATCATAGTAGGACTATATAAGCCTCAAGAGGGCACAGGTTACCTGCTCTGCTGCTAGGCTCCGACTGACCTTGGAGTTACTGAGAATGCCACCTCCAGGTCTGATATCTTCTTGTAGACGACGCGCACCGCAGCTTCAACGTTGTCCTTTCGAGATCACCCGGCGGCGTCTTGCTGGAAACCCCTTTAAATGTGGGTGACTCACGTTTTCAGGATCCTCCGAAGCCCTCAACCCCCCAAACCCCCGTTAAACCACAAGCCGTGTGTTCTATGTGGGTTGATTTAATTTCCAGGTCCCCGATTTCCGTAACTTCCCATAGGCTTTGAAGCAAGGCTAATCTTGAAGGCTCACTGGAGAGCTCTTCTTCTCAGGGCTAGATAAAGGGTGAGGGTTTAGAGTTTAGGGTTTCGGGGTTTAGGGTGTTGTTTTCCAAGTCTTGGGACTTCATGGGACCTTTATTTATTTATTTATTTGTTTATTTGTGAACAAATAAGCAAAAAAGTGAATCAATGAATAAATAGCTATTCGTTATATGTATATGTATTATATCTATATGTATATGATATGTGTGTATAGATATATGGAAATATGTAGAGAAAGAAACCCGAAAACAAAGTTCTCCCGTGGACCCGGAAACTCAGAAAACAAAACCTCCACGGGGCGAAGTTCGACGGATTTCGACCCATCAGCTCAATAAGGTCCCTTTTAAGAGAGCCATGGGTAGGGTTTAGGGTTTAGGGTTTAGGGTTTAGGGTTTAGGGTTTAGGGTTTAGGGTTTAGGGTTTAGGGTTCAATAAGGTCCCTTTTAAGAGAGCCATAGGTAGGGTTAAGAAGGGCATCCGTTTAAGGGGTCGCCGTAACTTAGGGGCCGAGTACCCTAGCCCAAAAAAGGCTGACCTTTTGAATTATAGAAGGATTATAAGAGCTCCAAAATAAAGGTTACCTACTCAGCCACTAAGAAGAGGACCCCCCCCCCAAGACCTTAAAACCCTAAACCCGAAACCCAAAACCCTAAACCGTTTGGATTAACCCAATCAAGAGGACTTTACTGAGGTAATACTGACACTACCGAGGAAGCTTGTCAAAGGCTGTCGGGCCGTTGAGTTATGCGAGGATGCGGTTCAGGTATCGGGAAAAGAAACTTCATGATTGGGGGTAAGGCTGGCATACGGTGAATGACAGAAATCCTGCGTTACCTTCAGGATCCTAAACTATGAGAATTAAGGTATATTGCTTACTACGGTTAATACAAGATTTATATCATCACAGGTTTAGGATTAGAGGTTGATTTCGGGTTCCCCAGTTGGGCTAAAAAAATATAGGGTTTAGGGTTTAGGGTTTAGGGGTTAGGGTTTAGGGTTTATTGGCTTCAGGCCCCAGGGCTTTCAAGCCTTTTGTCTCTTTGACAAACACGCGTTTCCGGGGGTGAGGGCGACGACACAGGTCCTGGGGGTCTCCGAAAATAGGGGATCCCAGTATACTACCCCCCAATAGTAGGAACCTTATTATAAGGACTCCAGAATACGGTGCCTTTTATTTTCGGAAAATACCAGGTTTCTCCGTTAGTCCAGATTCTCAGTGCAGTCACATAAGTCCGACTAGTTGGATTGCATGACGGACCGTGGCACATCGCCGACAGAGCGAAGCTCAACTCTTCATGCCCGTACATCCATGGCGTTATTTTGTATTTCGGGTTGAGCTTCATGAGCCCATATGTCCCAACCCGCGATTGTTAGCGTTTTCAGGCTGCCTCTGCTCCTTAGCGAGGGACCCCCCCGCTTCAACCCAAAACCCTAAAACCCACTTTGTTGTATCTGGGTTTAGGGTTTAGGGTTTATCCGCGCTGCCGAGCGGCGAAGAAGGCACTGATCTCAAGAGCTGGCGACAGGGAGGCGACCGCAACATCCTGCCCCAAGGTCCATGGTTCCTTTAAAGGTTTAGAATGGGGTCACTCTATGGGTTTAGGGTTTAGGGGCTTAGGGGTTTGGGGTTTAGGGTTTAGGGGTTTAGGGTTTAAGGGCTCCATTTGAGTTCAGGGCCCCTTTCAGGGCTACAGTAAGGGTCACTGCACAGGTTCCTTAGCAATTCCCCTGAGGGTTCCCTTAAAGGTTAGGCTAGGGTCCTGAAAAACCAGAACTCAGAACAGGGATCTGGTGGGGTCTACTGTGGCTGTTTCTAGAACTACTCCGGTCTCAATATGGGTAGTTCTCTAAATTAGGGTCCCTTTTTAAGTCCCCAATATAGTACGGCTGAAAGGGACCCTATAATTTAGAAAGCTACCCATATTAACATGGTGGTTCAGGAAAATATACAGGGGCCTGAACGATTTGTCGGAGGGTTCCGGAATCTTGTGGTATAAATGCTCCAATCAAGCTCCAGCCAAATTATCGGCTTTTATGGGAGTACGTACCAGACAGCTCGAACTCCGAAAAGCGTTGACACACCGGGAATGAGGATGGCAATACGTCGAGACAGTGACGAAACAGCCTGAGGCGAAATTGAAGCTGTTCGGGGACTGCAACAGGGAAAGAAGAAAAAACTGGAACGGGAACGAACCATGACTAAGCAATAATATAGGGGCCTTAACAATTACCTATACTCTTTTGGGGGTTCCTTATAATACCTATAGTAAAAGGGGCCCCGGAACCTCATTTTACTCCTTAAGGCCCCCATATTATGCATCGTGATCGTGAGACTGAGGAGACGGAGCTGCGGCTAGCAGTGCACGCGCGACTAGTGGGCCATTAGTGCCGATCTTCATAATATCCGCACAGTTCCTGATGACATGTCATTCAGACAAATGGATGGTCAACGCAGCTGATGTAGGGGCCTTAACAGTTAGAATAGAGTTTTGGGTTATAGTACACTACAATGATGGATGCAATATACAGAAAAACATGTGTCTTTGCAAGGCCTGTAATGTTTTTAGACAGGTTAGAGGTCCTCACTGTCACCCATTTCGGGGTGGGGCCACCACCATTCTGCTCCTAGCGCTTTCTTGCGCTCGCGAATGGCTTTGGCAGAGGCAGCTCCGTAAAGCGTCTTGAGGTCCTTGAACGTTTTCATGACATACTTGCCACGGCGCCGCTGGCTTTTCGAAAGGGAGGCATTGAATACGATCGCGGAGTTGGACTAATTCTCGGCTGCCTGTACCCACTCTTCGAATAAGCGGGCAATGATAGCACGATCTCAGATGTGACAATCTAGAAGACAATCACTTAACATTTAGCCCAAATCCAAGCAAACGAGTAACGGAACCCACCGGAAAATAATATGAGGTGATTACGAAGGCCCCTATACGTATCCTATATGTTGTTAGCTTGTGTACATTTTAGACTGTAGGGGCTCTATATGGCCTGGGGTCCAATCAGAATGGTCAGTCACCCCAAAACCCTGAACCCTGAACCGCTAGACTCCATTCACAACTCAGCAGGCTCCAAGGGTGGGATGAATCGAGGTGAGGTAATCCCAAAGGTTTAGGGTTTAGGGTTTAGGATTTAGGGGTCAGGGTTTTGGGGGGGATGAATCTAGGTGAGAGTTATCCCAGAATAAGAGTTCTTAGTTAAGGGATCCTTACTCCTACAACCCTAATCCTACATCCTAAACCCCTAAATCCTGAACCATTCACAACGGGCCTTGATCCCGCGCTGCCGGCAAGATACATCTCTGCGACCTTTCAAGCACCAGGCACCCCAAACCCAGAAGAGACAAGGAGAGTATACTGCAATATGCTACAATTACAACATACTCTAAGATACTATAGCCTCCTGATCAAGGAAACCTTTCTCGGTCCTATACTATACTGTACTGTACTGTACTATACTATACTATATTCTACTCTACGTACTACACTATACTATGCTGTACTATACTGTACTATACTGTACTATGCTGTATTATACCGTGCTATACTGTACTAGACCGTACTATACTGTGCTATACCCTACTATGCCGTACTATACTGTACTATACTGTGCTATGCTTTACTATCACGAACGATAATATACCATGTGGAGGGAGCCCTAAACCGTGGTGAGCCACGGACCTCTCCGTCGACAAACACTTCGAACTTCATGGGGGCTAGCCTTTAGGGTTTAGGGTTTAGGGTTTAGAGGACGGACAAACACTTCGAACTTGAAGAAGCTTTTCTTTAAGGGCTCTACACGGCTTAGGGCTCAGGGTTTGGGGTCTCCTTGGAGTTGGGGCCCACTTATAACTCCCTAAACCCGAAACCCTACACCCTAGACTCATCACCCATAAACCCCAAACCCTAAACTTTACACCCTAAACTCAGAACCCCTAAACCCCAAACCCTACACCCTAAACTCGTAACCCCCCACTTATGACTACCCATGAACTTAGGGGCTGAGTACCCTAGCCCAAAAAGGTTAACCTTTTGAATTATAGTAGGAGTTTAGGGTTTAGGGTTTAGGGTTTAGGGTTTAGGGTTTAGGGTTTAGGGTTTAGGGTTTAGGGTTTAGGGATTATAAGAGCCCCAAAAAGTTAAAGGTTACCTACTCAGCCACTCAGTGAACCTTCAAGCAGGGCCTCCACTAGTTCTCTCCTGTCGACATGGACCAAGCAAGCCTCCACCCTAACATTATGGTACATATTATCGTACCTTACGTTATATCAAGGTTTGAACAGGATAGTATACATATACCTCTATAGTGTTTTGTAGTATAATATGAATTTAGTATGTTTTCGTATATGATTGTCCAAGATGGTATGGTACGGTATGATACACTTAAACCCTAAACCCTAAAGCCTAAACCCTAAACCTAGTAGACGCTTGCAGTGTTGTGACGGACCAAGCGAGAGTATAACAACTGCACTCAAAGTGTTGCCTGGCCCCAGGATGCGCCGACCCATAGACAAAACCGGTTTAGGGTTTAGGGTTTAGGGTTGACTCTCTTCTTCAACAACCACGCCAAACAGTTCAAACTTGTTCTAGCCGACCTGATATGTATAGGGACAAAAAATTTAGAGTTCTCCCATTGGCTATCTAAGTTGAAGAAGCGAGCTCAAGTATGCAACACCATATGGGCTTTGAAACTCTAAGAATGATACGCCCCATATCTAGAAGGATTTAGAGACTCAGAGACTCCAATACCCCTTAATTAAGGAATATACCTTAAATCTTATTAGGGTTCCCATTATAGTTTAAGGTAGATTCCTTAAATTAAGGAATATACCTTAAATCTTACTAGGGCTCCCATTATAGTTTAAGGTATATTTCTTAATTAAAGGGTTTTGGAGTCTCTTCGAAGAGGGGTCTAAGGGCATTGATTCTCCGCTCTGGGCAGCGCCTCCCAACGTCCGCCGCTGTTCGTGGAGCTCCCTCGGCGTGGGTCCGGCGAGTTACAACGGCCAGGATGCCGGGGCCCCAATATGGGGGCCTTAATAAAGCGTTTAGGGTTTAGGGTTTTAGGGTTTAGGGTTTAGGGTTTAGGGTTGAGGGTTTTAGGGTTTAGGGTTTAGGGCTTGGGTTCCAGGGCTTTAGGCTAGAGATAGGGGCCTAGATTTTCGAGTTCAGGGTCCAGGGTGTCGCTGTTTAGACTTCAGGCATCAGGGCTTTATAGGCTTAATGTAGGGACCTTCATCATTAGACTAGGGTATTGGGACCCTCTATAGCATCATTAGAATAAGGAACCCTAAACCCTAAACCCTAAACCCTAAACCCCTAACCCTAAACCCTAAACCCCAACAGTAATATTCCTAATTATTCAGGCCTTCTATACAAGGGCTTAGGCCTGAGGCTCCGGGGGGCTTGATATTTCAGTTGTTCAAAGCGTAGCCAAAGCGTAGGTCCCCTTACAAGGGAGGGTAATGTAGGGGCCTTAATAATTAGAATAATTAGGGCTTTGGGGCATAGTTATAATAAGGAACCTCCAAAAGAGTATTGGTAATGATTCAGGCCCCTATAGTAGATTCTCAGTGGTCCTCCTGAGAAAAACGACCACATCGCAGATGGCTCTCCACTGTCGAGAGCCCTTTCACTAGCTGACCCTTTCAACATTCTGAAGATATGTTCCTGGACAAAATCGTTGTACAAAAGTACAAAGAGGGGGCATCCCCGCAAATGAATGTGTGTTTGATGTCTATTAGCGCAACAAAAACCAAACAGCCGTTGGTAGAATCGCCATAAGCCCTTTGAGCAGACATCCTACAGAAAGCGAGCCAACATCCACACACTAGAAACTCGATCCCAGACCGATCAAGTTTCCGGCAATGACTTCAAGAAACCTAGTTGCCGAGTTCATAAGCTCAGAAACGTACACTTTCAGTTCTATAGGAGATCATCTCATCACCAAAAAGGTAAGGTGAACTCATTCAGCTACTAAAGAAACAAATTTCAGCGCCAAGGGATGAAGGTAGGTAGGATCCAGGATCCGTTGTATTCAGGGCTCTCTCTCTCTCTCTCTCTTTCTCTCTTTCTCTCTCTCTCTCTCTCTCTCTCTCTCGGATCCTCCTAGCTAGTTTTGGGCCTTGATTAATGCTTGGAATAAGGTTTTGGACCCTAAACCGTAAACCCTTAAACCCTAAAAACCTAAACCCTAAACCCTAAGCCCTAAACCCAAAGCCCTACCTTAAGAACCCAAAACCTACTTTTTGTAGGGTCCCTATAAATCCCCATATTAGGGTTCACAATAGGAACCTACAAAAAAAGTGGGGTAAACCTCTAAACCTCTAAACTTTAAATGCCGAGCCTGGCTCGGGTCCAGGAGAGGCTTACTGGTTCGAGGGGCTTTCTTGGGCTCTACTTCTTGGAGGCCCAGGGGACTTAGTAAGTAGGTTATAAGTCACGGGGTGTAATACTTGGAGGCCCAGGGGACTTAGTTAAGGGTTTGGGGTTTAGGGTTTAGGGTACCCTAAATGGAGTTACCCCAAGTATAACCCTACTTATATCCGACTTACTAAGTCCCCGGGGCCTCCAAGTAGGCTACCATGAGGGTCTGAAAAGAAGGGCGGGTGTCTGCAAGGGCTTAGGGTTTTAGGGGTTTACCTTAAGAACCCCATACCTACTTTTTCGTAGGGTCCCTATACATGACATATTAGGGTTTATAATAAGAACCTACAAAGAAGTGGGTTTTGGGTTCTTAAGGTAGGGGTTTAGGGGTTAAGAGATTAGGGTTTAGTGTTTTCGGGTTGGGGTTTAGGGTCACAGGAATGCAGGTGCCTCCAAGGTTGTTCGGTTTTGGGGTTCAGGTTCGGAGCGCCAGAATCTAAGAACCCAAAAGCCGTAACCTGCAAGCACTACCACCCGAAATCCTCAAACCCTAAACCTCAGAAGCCTAAAATCCGAAAATTGCACCCAGAAAACCCTAAACCCTAAACCCGGAAAGTCTCCGCACAAACCCGAAAAACCCAGTTTCCTCCAGCGACCGCAGCGCCTAACCCCTACACCCTAAGCCCTTCAGGGTTTAGGGTTTAGGGGTTTAGGGTTTAGGGTTTAGGGTTTAGGGTTTAGGGTTTAGGGTTTAGGGTTTAGGGTGTAGGGCTTAGGGGTTTTAGATATAAGCCCTAAACCCGAAGCCCAAAACGAAACAAACATCGAGTTTGCTCCAGGGAGCTCCAGAAGCTCTTCCACCTCGAAGGTCAAGTTAAAACTCGGTTAGGCCCAAGTTACACTCGGTTAGGTCCCCGAAACCCTAAACCCTAAACCCAAACTCGGAGGAGCAAGAAACTGTTGCTTTTACTGGGCTCGTTTTTAGAACTCCTTTGGCCCCCAATCGGCGCAGCATTGCCCGGGATGTAGCGCCAACAAGCATCCGGGGGGAAACCAAACGGAGTTTAGGGTTTAGGGTTTTGGCTTTATTTAGTTGTTTAGGGTTTAGGGCTTAGGGGTTTGGGCTTAAAGGGTATATAGGGTTTAGGGTTTAGGGTCCAGATGCTGGTTGGTGCTACATCCCGGAAAGCATCCCTTCCCGAAGGGGGTCCCTTCCTTAGGACTGGAAGGTGGGGCTTACATTGTGGAGCCTCTGGAACTGCAAACCATGAGTTCGGATGAGGGTTTAGGGTTCAGGGTGTGGGGTTTAGGGTTTAGGATTTAGGGTTCAGGGTTCAGGGTTCAGGGTTTAGGGCTTGGAGCTTTCTATTTAGGTCCCGCCATATGAATGCGCCAGTCTAAAGCAGCCGCAGCATTAGCGAGCCTTTAGACAAACTGCAGCGTGATAGCATCTCTGAGCGAACATGCTACCGTGGAAGCAGATCCAGAGAAGCCCCAGTATCATAAGAAACGAGAGCCTGACCAGACCTAAACCCTAAACCCTAAACCCTAAACCCTAAACCCTAAACCCTAAACCCTATATGGATCTAAACAAGAAGCACCCCCCTAAAGGCTCCATTTGTTAGATGCCACAGGACCCCAAGAAGCTTCGTCCTCACCTGAGTTTAACATGGATTCCCAAGCGGAACCCTTGCAAGTCTGTAGCGATCTCTTCCTACGAGCAACTCTCCATCCAGCCAAAAATATAACACCCGCTGTGTTGCTAATCCTACACCCCTGAAGTCCTGTATTAATGGAGGCCCACCCTCAACTCTGAGCCCTAATATTTCTGGTCCGGGCGACACGATCCGTTGTGGCAAGGGCTAGCTCGGCGAGGACCCCGTGTTGCTGAACTTTGCGTAGGAGGTCCTTCTTCTTCAGCGCTTTAATTTCTCTGGGCTTACTAACCCCGTGGCGCTTCAGAAATTGCTGGTTCAGGGGTTTAAGGTTTAGGCCTCGGGGTTTAAGGGTTTAGTGTTCAGGGTTTAGGCTTTAGGGTTTAGGGGTTTAGGGTTCAGGGTCTATAGGGTTTAGGTCTTATCGGGTTTATAGGGTTTAGGGGCATAAAACCTTAAGATAAAGAGCCCTGGATGATATTTGGCCGGCTCCACGAGGTTTCTGAGGTCTGGGGCCTCAATCGGATGCCAAAAGGGAGTAATGTAGGGGCCTTCGTAATTAGAACAGGGTTTTGGGCTCCTTTTATAGTATGCTTTTTTAAATTTACCGGAACCCTAACCCTAACAGTAATATTGCTAATTATCTAGGCTGCTATATTGGGATTGGGGCTTACCCTAAGGCTCCTGGACCCCCATAGTGAAAGCCCAAACCTTAGCCCCCAAAGCCCCAAACCGAACCTTCCCCTAGAAAGCCCATAACAGCCATAAGAGCCTTAGGGTAGGGTCTTGGGATGTCTGCAAGGAGCCGGATATGGAGGCTACCTTGGGTACAAAGATGTGGGGTTTAGGGTTTGGGGTTTAAGGTTTAGGGTTTAGGGTTTGGGTTTAGGGTTCATTCTCTCAACGGACTCCGGTTCTGGTAGGGCACCAAGAGAGTAGATAACATAAGGGGCCTCAATAATCAGACTACGGTGTCGGGGCCCGTTCTACTGACACTGATAATCCGGATCCTCCCAAAATAGTACTACTATAACTATAATAACAATAATAATAAGAAGAAGAAGAATAATATTAATCTTAATAATAACAATAATAATCTTAATAACAACAATAATAATAAGGAGCCCCACCAACAACATAGTAGTGGTAATTGTGAATGCCCCATATTATACTACCCTAAGGCTCCATGTACCCATATAATAGATACTTAAGCCTTAAAGTACCAATATAGGGACCCCTTTAAGGCCCTAAGTATCTACTATAAACCCTAAACCCTAAACCCTAAACCCTAAACCCTAAACCCTACTATAAAGGTACATGGAGCCTTTGGGCTATAGGCAGATCATGCGATTTCCGGCCTGGGCTCGCAGAGAAAGGTGGCGAAAACTTCCCCAAGCCCTAAACCCTAAACCCTAAACCCTAAACCCTAAACCCTAAACTCTAAACCCTAAACCCTAAACCCTAAACCCTAAACCCTAAAGTAAGCCAGGGAAATAAAAGGTTAAACTTTCAGATTTCTACTAAGCTATAACTGGGTTGGCCTTTAAACCCTCTGAAAAATATTTATATCAAGGGTCCCTTATGAACCCAAATAGGGCAAATAGAAAATGTCCCAAAAACCAACCTAGATAAGTTAAGAGCCCCAAAGCAGGTTGGGTATTGGAGAACCAAGGTGATGCCACATGCAGTTTCGGTCTGCCAGGGAGTCAGAATCCCCAAATCTCAGGGCGCCTTTACCGCCACCTCTTGAGGATCCAGGACGCGGGAAAGAGGCTCCGATCGCCTGCCCAAGTGCTTCTGCAGAACCTTCTCCAGCTCCTCATCTGCCATCTCCATGGGACTCCGAACCGATGGACCATTAATTCATCTGTGTCAGAATCTCTGAGTCGCAGATCGCCACTCTGCGCCGGCACGGCGCCGAGGCAAAGCAGGTGGCAGAGGAGATGAAGGCGACCACCACCACCTTTGCCACCTCCTCCATCTTTACCATATTCGGGTCCACGGCCATCTCCACCGCAAGGTCTGATGCCAGCTCCACCCAGAAACGAAAAAGATCTGCCCGCACCGCCTTCGGCCTTTGGGTAAGGCTGAAGTTTGTGCTAAGTCGATCCGCAGGCCTCAGGCTGTAAGGACGACCCGCCTATAGGCATTATCTAATGCTGAAATTTATGTCAAGACGATCCCCAGACCTAAGGTTGTATTGACGACCCGTTATGCCACGACGAGCTGAATCAGGCAGGCTCCGACGCCCTACTCTTGATGATGCTTGTTGATGAGGCCTTAACTCTAAATTCTACACCCTACACCTTAAACCAAAACCCTAAACCCTAAACTTGGAAACCCTAAACCGTAAACGGTTGAGGACACCGCGCGGGCCGCATATGGTGAATGGAACGGCCAAGACAAGCTTTCAGGGCTCTGAAGCTTTGCAAGTGCTTTCGAGGGCTAAGGGCTTGCTGGCTTTAGGGTTGGGGATTCAGGTTAGGGCGGCTTGTAGGGTTTAGGGTTCAGGGGTTTAGGGGTTTTCTGGCTTGAAAACAAAGACTCGGGTTTAGGGCTTACAGGGGCTTTGGGGTTCAGATGACGTTAACAGTACTTGTGTGGGTTGTCATTGGTGATCTCGATCTGGAGTTATCAAAGGTGTTTTCAGTTGCTACTGCCAAGCAAAAAGGACCATCCCCGTAGCACGTATGATAATTCTAGGACATTTTCAGGTGGGTAGTTTCCGTGATAGGAGCCTTATAGAAGGTCTATATACCTCATAGATGGCTTATAGAAGGCCTATATACCCTAAAATCCCCCACCTGCAGTTTCCTTTAACCCCTACACCCTAAAACCTAAACCCTTAAAGGAACCCTAAACCCTAAACCCTTAAAGGAACCCTAAACTCCCCACCTGTAGTTTCCTTGAAATGATTGCTCTCGCCTCGCCAACTTGTAGCGAGGTTTTCGCTGAGAAGCATGGGTTTTGGGTTTCGGGTTCAAGGTTCAGGGTAGGATAAAATCTAGGTTTGCACAGTCTTGGCAAGGGTCCTTTGTTGGCGTGTTGCTTGTTGGAGGGCAGGTGGGGCAAAGGGTGTTATAGGTGCTCGTTCTTTAGGTTTGTCTGTCTCAGGGTTCAGAGGCGGACTTGGGAGTCTGGATGTTTGGGCATAGGGGTTTCGGGCTCAGGCTTACAGGTGAGTCATGACATCACCTCGAACAGCCCGGCCGCACCTTGCGGGTCTTTGCATAGGCCTCCTTCCCCATGGCAAATCGACCTTGGGATGTTGTTTTCAATCTAGGGGAAATTTAGGGTTTATGGTTTAGGGTTTAGGGTTTAGGGTTTAGGGTTTAGGGGCACGCAATGTGCTGAACTTACCGTCGGCGCTAACATCATACAGAATCGGAAATCCTGCAGGGCCTGTACGGTTTAGGGTTTAGGGTTTAGGGTTTAGGGCTTAGGGTCCTAAACTTCCACAGCCTTCACCCCTGAAACCATATTTAAACCAGACGAAGCCGTTTCTTAGTCGGAGCCCCCACACCTCCAAATCCTCCTAAAACCCTAAACCTACACCCGAAACCCTAAACATCAGGCTAATGTGCCGGGCTTCTTAAGAAGTCTCAGGCATAAGTCTAGCGACAATAGGGGACTGGTGCTACTACCTTCAAGGAGCCCTTATAGAACCCGCAAACCCTTAAAGGAGCCCTTATAGAACCCTCAACCCTTAAAGGAGCCCTTATAGAACCCCCAAACCCTTAAAGGAGCCCTTATAGACCCTAAACCCTAAACCCTTAAAGGAGCCCCGTAGTCAGAGGAACAGCTCTGGGAGGCCAGGCTGGGTCGCGGCCGCCGCGGCGGGGGGCAAACGAGGAGGTCGCGGAGCGCCGCTGTGAGCGGAAGTGAAAGCGGCCTGGCTCTAGGGGCTTTAGGGCTTCAGTTTAGGGTTTAGGGTTTAGGGTTTAGGGTTTAGGGTTCAGGGTTCAGGGTTTTCGGGGGTTTTGCACCCTAAACCCTAAACCCTAAACCCTAAACCCTACAGCCTAAACCCTAAACCCAAATCCGCAAGAAGCCCTGCTTAGGGATCGGCAGGGTGTTAGGGGCTTCTGGGCTTTCGGCATTGTATCCGGGGTTTTAGGGCGGTAGAGTGTCAGGGCTTCAGGGCTTCAGGGTTTTCCGGGGTTTTAGGGTGGAAGGCTTTTAAGGCTCTCGAGCTTCAGGGTTGTAGGGCTCTAGGGTTCTAGAGGGCTTAGGGCTTTAGAGTTTAGGGCTCTAGGGTTCTAGAGGGTTTAAGTTTAAGGCTTTTGAGGGCTTCTGGGCTCTAAAAAGCTGAGGGCTTATGGGGCATACTCTACTATAGTTATAGTAGCGAGCCCCCCAAAACAGTCTTGGCAACTATTTCGGCCCCTATAGTACGTTCTGGTTTCATAGCCTCAGGGCTTCGGGTTTTCGTGAAACGACGACGGCGATGACAACTACTACGACTACGACTACAACGATGCAGAGGAGATCTGTAGCGCTGGGCAGGGTGCAGACTGTGAAAATGCTGCAACCGGTGCAAACCTGCTGTGTCCAGTACGACTACTCCTCCTAAACCCTAAACCCTAAAGCCCTGCTATTCCGTGACAGTCCATATGAAGGCGAATGACAGAATTCAAAGACGGACACCTTACAGAGCATCTCAGAGCTGCCTCAACATAGACTCTGGCGGCTCTAATAAAAGGCGGATTGCAAAACGCGCAGTTGCGGTTCGCTGCTTTTAAACCTCGATAACTAACTGTCGGTAGTCAACCCTACACATAAGACTAGAGCATATATTTCCCACCGACGGCTACTTGCAATCTGCCCGAAAATCTCTGACGACTCTGCGGGGCCAGCAAAACACCGGCAAGTTTTGCCTGAATCGCAAGGCCCGCCGCAGGCATTGGGCCACATAATCCTTGGGAAGTCTGGACGGACATGCAGTCCAGGCTTTAGGGTTCGGTTCAGGGTCTAGGGGTTTAGGGCTTAGGGTTTAGGGTTTAGAGTTTAGGGTTCGGTTTAGGGTTTAGGGCTTAGGGTTTAGAGTTTAGGCTTCGGTTTAGGGTTTAGGGTCTAGGGTTTTCCAGCTCTAAGGTGGAGGTCTACTTGCTTGCTGGTTCATCGGAAAGGACCGAATCTGTATACAAGGATCATATTTTTCAGAAAAGGAAACGCTACGGATTTGGTGAGGCGGCTTCAGCAAGGGCCCCAAAAATACGGCACCCTTAGAAGAAGGATCCCAAAAGGGACGCTATTTTGGAAACCTACCCACCTGTCTGGCCAGGTAACTGCTGGCTTCGACTGCTCCCTGCAAGCTGCGGCAAAAACACATAAATAAGTATAGCCTGCCCCTCAAACTGAACTGGCCCTTAAGCCTCAGCCCCTGAACCCCAAAGCCTAAACATTAAAACCAAACCCCGGGCCAAAAAAATCTTGAACCCCAAGCTCCAAACCCTCTTAAAGCTGCTTAGCGTAAACCCTAAACCCTACCTTAATCCCAAAAAAACCTACCTTTTGTAGGCGTTATACCAAAAAAAACATAAGAAGGAACCCTAAAAAGGTAGGTTCTTTAGGGTCCAGGTAAACCCTAAACCCTAAACCCTAAACCCACACCCTCGAAACGCCCCTTAGCCTCGCTTCTGGACTTCTGGAGCGGACTTCGTTTGAACGTCTCGCAAGGAATGCACAGGAGGTGCTCTCTGAACCGGGTTTAGGGTTTAGGGGTTTAGGGTTTAGGGTTTAGGGTTTAGGGTTTAGGGTTTAGGGCGTGCCACGGCTTTAGGAATATACTGTACTCATACCTTTGAACTAGAATAGGGCTTAGGGTTTAGGGTTTAGGGGTCTAGGGCTTTGAGTTTAGGGGTTTAGGTTTAGGCTTAATGTAGGGGCTACAGTAGGTTCTCTGTATATATTATGCTTATAAATGCTGTCTCGCCTAAGGCATGGCGAGCGAGACATCATCCGCAAGTGGATACTCGGGGCCCCTTGACCTAGCTAGGGCCTTAGGTTTGAAGGCAACCCAACACCCTTAACCCTAAACCCTAAAACCAAAGCCCGAAAACCTAAACCCTAAAATCAAAAAACCGAAACCTTAAACCCTAATCTAATACCTTAAAACCTAAACCCCCAAAAGAACGATGGTAAGGGTGGCAAAGGTTCAGGGCGAGGCCAGGCTTTTTGCGAGCTAAGTGGGTCTTCATACCCTTCACAGAGGGCCTCAGGACACGAGGCTAGTTCTCCAAATTAGGACTCCTTCATATTCCCTGTCTTTCAGGGTGGTGTTGGGTTTAGGGTTTAGGGTTTAGCGGGGGAATTAATTAGGATCCCTTCATAGATCCCCGTTTACGGTTCAGGGTTTAGGGGGGGCAGTAGGATCCCTTCATAGCCCCTTTCTTTCAGGATGGTTGGGGACGTCATCCAAAGGGACCCTAAGTCAGAGAACTAGGGTTGATGATATAAACCCTGCACTACCCGTTATAAGGAATAGACCATCATTCCCATAGCGTAGGCTCCTTTTGCTCACCTACACGCTACCCCTCTATGCTCCTTAAGGTAATGCAGGCTTTAGATCATCAACAGTACTTGGAGGATCATGGGACTCAGTAAGTAAGGTTATAAGTCCCTTAAATGGGATCATAAGTATAGTTACCCTAATTACCCTGACCCTCAAAGGACTCATATTCTAAGGCTTTTGGGCCCAAAGACCCCACTATAAAAGGTTTTTGGGCTATGTTGATGGTAAGGGGTATAACCCTACTTACCAAGTCCCATGATCCTTTAAGTACGCATGACTTTGGGGAGAGCCTTCAGCCCTGGGCTCTTGATGAAGGGTTTAGGGTTTAGGGTTTAGGGTTTAGGGTAAGTAAGTTAATCCTGCGAGCTCCTTCAGAGCTACCCAGAGAGCCCCAATACCCCTTAATTTAGGAATATACCTCAAATCATAATATTAAGACCCCTATAATTTTAAGGTCTATTCCTTATTTAAGGGGTATTGGGTTCTCTGGGTTCCGGACCGTAAACAGAGACCATGATGCGATGAGACGTAACAGAATGCCAAACAGAAACCATGGATGTGATCAAGCAGGAACAGAAGGAACAGCCACCGCAACAATCATGCAAAGAGTAGTCGCAGTAAAAGCGGTAATGATGAACACAATATCAAGCATACTAATGGTGCTCGCACTACTACATGCCGTCGCAGACGTAGAGCTGATGGTCGGAAGATATGCAGCCACGCTTCAAAGTCCTCTGTTTGGGCAATGTCCGGAATCTGCGGCAGAGGCTAGGATTAGGGTTTAGGGTTTAGAGTTTAGGGTTTAGGGTTTCGGGATTAGGGATTTCAGGTTTAAGCAGCTGCTGGCAAGAGCTCTGCAAGGCCGAAAGGGGTCCTGCCGTTCTCGTACGACTGCAACCTTTGTTTGTTTCTTGGCCTGGAAACGGGTTCTTTCTGAACACCCGAAAGCTGATAATGCCCAAACCACGTAGTAGCACTGAGACAGTCTACAACATGCCCTCGTCCCATGCACCCTATACCTTTGTAGTGGCACTGGCACATTCTACAACATGCCCTCGTCACCCGCAGAACCCTGGTTAAACCCTAAACAGGGCACCTGCAAGAGCGAGGCCAACAGGCGAGCCGCGGACGCCAGCGACAGTGCGACGTCCTCCCGCGCCTGGCAGCCCTACGGTTTAGGGTTTAGGGTTTAGGGTTAGGATGGGGCCACCTTGGAGTTTTGGGGGTTTAGGGTTTTATGGGCTGTTGGGTGCTATGGGGCTTTGGAAAATGCCCTCAGAAGGTGTTAGACGCGTCTACGGGCTTAGATTAGGCACGTTTTGATAGCGGTGTATAAGGTATGTTGTGTAAGGCGGCTTCCATGTCCATAGGATCCTTGTTCCTAGAGGCAAACCAGCAGTGGACCCCCGGTTTGACAAACCAAGGTCATCAACTTGAACTCAACATAAAACATACTCGAGCCGAAGGCCTTGTCTAGAAGTCCTGGAAGTCCTTAGAAACTCTCTTCTTCAACAACCAGGCCCAAAAAAGTTCAAACTTTTTAGGATAGACCTAATATATAAAGCCAAAAAGTTTAAAGTTCTCCTATTGGCTATCTAAGGAAAGGTAGGCTTCTTTGGGTCGAGGTAGGGTTCAGGATCACTCAAGCACTGGCTTTGGAGGATCGTTCCCCCCCATCTTTGTTGAAATGACAGCCCGCAGCTGAACCTCCTGGGAGGGTGCCAGGGCAAGGAC